AATTGATTACATACACATGATTCAGAGCTCTGAATCACTGATTTGGTTTCTTCTAAACTGTAGCTCTTTAACATTCAGCAAACCCTGATCTAGACACATGTCCTTTATAGGGACTGAGAGCTTAAAATTGTGGCAGATGTCTACCTTCACCTTGGCACTCTGTAGCCCTAATGTAGTGCTGCTCATTCACTGCTTTTATGGGTTTTTAAGTAAACACCGTATCTTAAACAAACGTAGAGGTTAAGACTATATGACGCAATGACAAAAGGATGTGATAATGTAAAATGAAAGCAAACAAAACATTTTTTTTTAGAATGTAAATAGACCGTTTGGATTAGGCCAGATTTTTTTTGGTAACACTTCAAATAATGGTCCATTAGTTAATGTATTTACTAGTGCTGTCAAATGATTAATTGTGATTAATCACATCCAAGATAATAGTTTGTATTTACATACTATATACATGTGTACTGTGAATATTTATATTTATATTTATGTATATGATAGATAGATAGATAGATAGATAGATAGATAGATAGATAGATAGATAGATAGATAGATAGATAGATAGATAGATAGATAGATAGATAGATAGATAGATAGATAGATAGATAGATAGATAAAACTATAAACAAATGTCTTTTATAATATAGTCAAGCAACTTTTATTTTTGAGGCGATTAATCATTTGACAATTTTACAGCACTACTATTTACCATACAAGTTTAATTATGACCAATCTTGTTAAGCATTTATTAATCATAAATCAAAAATGAATATCGAAATGCTATCATAAGTTGTGCTAAATACACTTCCTCAGGGAGAAAAGCTCAACCACTCAACAACTAGATTGATGGTTATCTGTATGAAGTCCCCATTCCCAGAAGTGATGACCCATTGTTAAAATGTGTTAAATAAATATTTTCAGAATTTGTAATTAATTAATTTATCTTTTGAAACTTAATATTCTTTAACATATAAACTTAATTTAATTTATACAATTGCAGTGCCTCGATCATAGTAAAGTTACCCATAAATACTATGCTACTAATAATTGGCATAATTTCTTTCTGTGTTGGTCGGCCTTGGTTTCCCCTTTTTCGGTTTACAGTTTACGGTTTCAGGCAAGAATTTCGGTGCTTTCTATTGTTAATATTAGGTAATGTGCACTGTGAGGTACATAAACTAATGTTACTTAACTTAACATTACCAAAGAGGAATAAATGTAGTAACAAATGTGTTTATTTATTACTGACTAATTGTTTTGTTACTACTAAAAAATTGTTCATGTTAGTAAATGCATCAGCTAAAACATTAAATATCATTCAACTAATGCAACTAATGGACCATTATTTTAAAGTGTTACTGATTTTTTTTCTAAGAAATTGATACATTCACTCAACAAAGGTGCATACAACTTATTTCAAAAATGAAGGCAAATATTTCAGTTTCAAACTAATGCTTTCAAGTCAAAGAATCCTGAACAATCACAATACACTAATTAATAAATAACTAATAAGAACTACTTTTAACACTGATAAGATAATAATAATAATATACCTTTCTCAAGTAGCAGCATACTGGAAAGATTTCTGAAAATTTTTTATTGAGAGAGGAGATGTACTGTAATCATGCTGAGAATTTAGGTTTGCCAAAAAAATAAAAAATAAATAGAATAAAATATATTAAAATAGGAAAATATGGTTGTTTTAACAATGACCTGACCTTATTGAGCATGACATGCAGAAGCAAAAACATGTAAGATTCCCTGTTTGATGAAGCCTTTTAAAGTGGAACTAGCAATAATATCAATGTATAAGCTTTTGTTTTTTTATATATATTTATAATACATGATATAACTGATATATCACACAAGCAAGAGTTCCATTTCCCTGAATATTATCATTTGAGTGCCTTTGCAAATGTGATTTCAAACAATTCCATGAACAATACATTAAATTGAGTGACTCTTTTATGTTTAAGCTTCATCAACAAAGTATTCCAAACAAAGTCTGCATTTGTGCATCTGTGGTGTTTCGTTACTTCATTAAACTGATTTTGAACAAATTATTTGAGTCAATAACTAAATGATCCATTCATAAAGACACTCGCTCAATAGTGTCATGAAGTCACTTTCACAATTGACTTTCTAAACGAATCAGCCATTGAAACAAACTAAAACAAAAGAAAAGGCAGTTTTTGTGCTGTATTCATTTATCTGTTACAGGTACCAGTCTGGTTACGAACATAATAACAAACTCACACCCCAAAAAATGTATTGCAGGGTTCATACACATTTTAACTACTAAAATTCCATGACTTTTCCATGATTTTTCCAAGACTTTTAAGCAAATTTTTATGACCTAATGTTTCATGCAATGTCTACATATGCATGGTAAAAAACAATACGTTTACATTTATTACAGCAGGTCTGGAAAATTCCATGACTTTTCCAGGTCTTCCATGACCATATGAACTCTGGTATTGTTATCAAAATAAAATAAATAAATGTGAAAAAAAGTATTTAGAGTTTTCTTCAATATGACAATGAACTTAATGAACTGGTAAATATTAATATCACGCCCCTCTGTTGCTGGACACATTTGCTTATGGCATTTAAACTTATAATAACATCATTCGCTCATTTCTATGTGTATTTTTTTGCATGATTCAGCATCCACTGGACAGTGTCAAACTAAGTTCAATACAAGCAAATCAGCAGGTTGAACAATAAATGTGAAGACTTAAAATCTGAAATACAGCACAGATATTTTGTTTTTGCTTTAGATGTGCATGGCAACTCTAAAACTACTTAAAGTATTAAATCAAAACACAGAAGCTGTATAAAAATGTTCCACATCCCTATTTGCATTTAACACATTCACACAGTGCATTTTCTGGGAGCTACTAATGTACCTGTAGGCATTTTTGGATGCAGGCCGAGGGTCGAACTTCAAGAAGATGATGCACATGAGGAGGTCACTGATGGCAGGAGTTTTCAATCACAGTGAGGTCAGAGACTGGATGCGCTAGGTGCTGGATGAAGAGAATGAGACCATGACTTTTGGATAGAAAAGAAGAGATGTGACAGTGAGTTAGGTAACATTCTTAAAGGCCATCAATCAAACATTATACCAGCAACAAACCTCACATATATAACAATAACTAAGCCAGAAAATTAATAAAATAAAGTATGATCGACTAGACAAATGATAGAGGTATTACTATTTCAGACCACATGGTAACAATTTATATAACTGAAGTTATACGTTATAAATAATTATACAATAAATATAATGACATTACACGTGTTTGTATTGCATATAATTTACCTTGAACACATTTTTATTAACACAAAGTCATATACAAATAAAAAAATTGCAGTTTTTGGTAACGTTGTATTCTGACAGTGTTAATGTTAGACAGGAAGTAAGTACTGTATAACTGTTAAAATATATACGTTATTATTTTATAAACACATTTCGTTGGCCATAGATTGAATTTAAAACGCTGTCTTTGTCTCCCAAAGTGCTTTATTCTTACAGAATGATCTAGCAGGTTTAATGTCAGGCTTGTGTCAACTGACAGAAACTGACAGCAGGTTAGCAGTAGCCTAACAATCCAGCTAACTGCTCGGATAACTTAAAGACAGCAAATAACAACAACAAAAATGTATGTTTTCTCTTTAGTTCATAACAGGGTATGTGAAATATTACTTACGAATCCATGTGTTGTCAATGATGACAATTCATTGTGCCGCTACGCAAGTGTGAGATGTAACTTTGAGCATAGGCTAACTCTGCTCTGTACAAAGGGCTAAACCAACCTCGCTTTGACGTCGGCTGAGAAATCCAGCTCTGATTGGCTGAAAGCAAGAGCAGGACCGCCCACACATTTGCAACTGTACAGGGAACAGCACTCATGTTGGTCTATGAAGCACAGTTGAATTTGAAGGCTGAAAGAAACTGAACTCAGATCAGAATCGTAATCACGTTCTCATGCTGTCACCTGTAATGAATGAGCTTTCTGTTTTTTTTTCTTAATTTGTGAATTTCTTTTTTATCATACTAAATGATTATGCTGCTATCATTATATTCAATTTGATAAAATATTAAGCGAAAAAAAATAGTTTTATTAATTTGCAACTCTCCAGATAATGGAATATGACTAACTTTTTATTTGGTAGAATATTTTACAGTTTTAGCTTCTTTCTGCTAAAAAAAAAAAAAAAAAAAAAATCTAAATCTATTTTTTGAAAGTTAACAAATGGAAAAAACCTGCGAAAACAATAAATGAATACACAATTAAATAAATAAATATGCAAATAAATCTATCAATACATGCATAAATAAAACAATAAATAAAAAATGCAAATAAAGAAATACATGTATTTATAATTCTACAAATTCATGCATAAATAAAACAATAAATAAATAAATACGTGAATAAATAAATAAATCCATAAATCCGTGTGAAAATAAAACAACAAATAAAAAATTATGCAAATAGATAAATAAATGTATATACAATACTACAAATTTCTGCACAAATAAAACAGTAAATAAATAAATACGAAAATAAATAAATAAATAAATAAATGAATAAATAAATATACAAATTCCTGCATAAATAAATAACTAAATAAATATTAGTGCACTGTGAAAGGGGGAAAATTCTACTTTCAGTTTAGATTTTCATATTACTTTAACATCCGTGTAATTGAGTTAAATGTTAATTTGCCCGCACTATTTATATATTTATTTATGCAGGAATGTGTGAGTTTTTATTATATATTTATTTATGTATCTGCATATTTATTTATTGATTTATTTATACAGGATATATATATATATATATATATATATATATATATATATATATATATATATATATATATATATATATATATATATATATATATATATATACTTTCAGTCCTTCATAATAACACAATGCCTCTATTTCTCTGTAGACTCAGCAGCAGCAGCATCACAGAGATGTAGCTCTCTCAGCGCACTTGTAGTAGTGTGCACAGCCACCCTCGGAAGAGTCCAATAATAACACTGAGAGGGTTTTTGTTGTCTCGATGGAAAGCATTGTGACACTTACCAAAGTCTGTTATTTACATTCAAACCGCGACATCTCGTTTGAATAGTCACAAAGCTGATTCGAAGAAGTAAGAAGTGAGTTTTCCCGCGGAGATGAATGAAGCTAATCGTGGAATCATCCGCTGTTACTGTTGACAAGTTGAACGAGCGCGCCGCCGCCGCTGATGCTGCTGCTGCTGTCCCTACAACTCGCTCACAGAGAGAAGACAGGTAAGCTTATTCAGTCTTCTATATGCCGCTATATCTTCTATTCACGATGATTTAACTCGAAATTTGGAAACTTACTTCACAAGCCCAAAAGGCTGTATGTGTACTACTGCTGCATTCGCGTGTACGCGCACCTCAACTGATCGAGATATTCGCGTATTTACTGTCCATCAATTGAGTGCATTTGCTCGGCTCCCAGCACAGATACATTTGTGCTCTAGTGTGTTTGTTGATATCTCGTTGTGATAGTTTACTTTCAGGCATTTAAAGATGTAGCAATTGGCTACGATTGGTAATGATCTACACTGTTTTCAGGCAGCGCGTCATGCTTGATAGTAACACGCGCGCTCGTGAAACGCAGCCTTTTAATTTGACCGTGATTTGATCGCTTTTGATTATGCACGAGGAGGCGTTTATCAGTGTTTTTACACCCATGTCAGCGAATTTGCGGGATTGTTTGATATAATGTGTGCAAATAAGCATAAAGTGTTTCTGATTTGCTCATGATAACTGAAACGACCATTTAAAATACAGCTGGAGGCTTCGACATCTGTCAGAAAGAGGGCTACTGGTGTCAGTGCATATGGCGCGATTTCAGTTGTAGCAAAGATACCAAACGTTACTGGAAGAGTTGGTTTGGTTACAATCTTTTTTTATAGCCTAACTGCTTGTATTTTAAGGATTAACTTGTCTGGGCAAGTGTTTGGGGATCATCTTGACTGATTGAAATGATTGAATGTACAGATCTGACTAAACCCTAATAGACAGGTCGACATTACTGTTTTTAAAAATGTGTTGACGCTGGAATTTATCAAATATTTATTTATATTCTTTTTTATTATTATTTCTGCATTATATATATATATATATATATATATATATATATATATTTATATATATATATATATATATATATATATATATATATTGAGCGTAAACAATGAATTTGTAAACAATGAAGAACACCTAAATATGCATATTCATAAGGCCAGTAATGCTGATTGGACGAAAACAGCTTGCTGCATTCTCATGAATCAAAATGTTTTGATTACAGCTTATTTTGTAAATTGTGAAGTGTAGACCCTGAATTTTAACATTGTTTGAAAGTTTCTGCGACTTCATGAATATTAAAGAGGTAAGAGCTGTTTAATTAGTTTGGTAGATGTTGCTGAACACTGAAAGTAAGCCAAATTTTTCTTGCTGCATTCCTTTGACTTCATACGCTTGTGCATGAATATGCTTTCTTTCATACTATGTTGTGGGTAAAAAAAAAAGCGAGGCAAGTAGTTGGTTCAGATTTATTGCCTTCATGTAATAGTATGAGAAGTACCAGAGTGACTTACTACAGGCAGCAAGATTGTGTAATGCGCCTCTGGCCTAATCCCACCTCATTTGCACATGCAGTCCTGTGGATGCACAGTGGATCAGTGTGCAAGTCTACATGACTGTAGGGCGTCTTGTTCATCATTTTACTTTTTAGATAGGTGCTCATGGGGATCCCCTTCATTGCCATTTTATCTCATTGAAGCATGTACCTGCTGAGAGTGCACTGAGTTGACTTTTGAGCAGACTACAGACAAACAGTATTGACATTATGTCATGAAATATTGTGGACAGAAACAAAGGGGTTTAGGGTTTCCTTCGACATTGGGTCTCTTATGCACTTAAGATCTGCGTTGTTTAAGATACGCTGCCTCATTAAGACAAAATTAGAAGTAAGTCAGACAAGGCACACTGCATCAAATTGCATTTTGTTGTGCCACGTCTTTAAAATGTAACCAGTATTTTCTATGGATGTATGTACACAACAGGGCTCATCATTAACTATGACGTGGTTCGACTGCAATCTATCAATAAAGTCTAGATAGTATACACAGCCGGCCAGAAATGCGACATGCACATCAATATAGTAGCATTTTTTATGACAATGTATATCAATAATGATTATTCTTACAGTACTGTGACAGTTGAGGTTAGGTTAGCAGTAGATGTTAAAAAATACAACTTATTGTATCATTTAATAGATAGCATAAATAATACTCGGTAAAACTACTGTTTTTACGATACTGTGACCGTTGGCTTTAGGGTTGGGGTAGAGGTAGACATTAATAAATTACAATAAATGGGAAAATTAATATCTAATCTAAATAATTTTCATTTACTTCCAGCTGCAACCATGTCTTATCTAGCAAGTCCACCGCTTGAGAGGATTCCAGAAAACACGGTCCTGTGAACTTTGGTTCCAACCACAGTTGTTCCCAAGAGTTTTAGTATCGCGGCCACCAGATTTCCAGTTATTTATGATTTTCCTACAGGGACATGAGTAAAAAAGTTACTGGCGAGTTTCTGATGTGCATTAATGTCATATATGTTTTTTTTTAAGCGGGAAACTAATGCTATCTAGAATGACAGCACAAACAGTATTGCTGCTTCAGAATGTTTCAGACATATGGACATTGGGTATATGGGGCAAAGCCACTCCACATGGAACAACTTGGTCTTCCAAAGTTAAATGAGTTTGATAAAAGGCGTGCAACATTTTCACGCGGGAAAGCACGTTTTTATGCGGAGATGTGATTTGCTGATTTGCCGCAACGGCCCCTATAAGGACGAGATCATTGTAGCGAATTTTGACCATCTCGCCGCCGGAGCTGTGAAGGAAGTGTTGCCAGGGCAGGCAGAGCAAACTTTGACGCTCTCTCCACCTTCGGTGTGAACGCATAGTTTGGAATTTCTCAACGTACACTTGGCAATTTCTCAACATTTCAAGCACTGACAAACAAGTGTCCGCCAGCCAGTCAGATCGCTTTATGTAAATAGGCCTTTTTTTTTACAGTAGCTAATTACAAAAAAAGCACCATTTCCAACCAATGAGTCAAAGAGAACAAAATCATCACCTACTGAGTCCTGATAAATTGGTGCCAAATATCAAAAGAAAAAAACAGAATTTGCTGCAATAGGAGAAGCCAAAATGGGTCTTTTTTGTTATATACAAAAAAAAAAAAAAAAAAAAAAAAAAAACAAAGACAAAAACTAATGAACGGACAGTGACTTTTGGAGACATTTTTTATTATAAAAAACATTTTTGATTATTTCAAAACGATTATCAGTGGGCCATACGTCCAAAAAGTTTTGGAGATATATATTTATCATAAATTAGAAATGTATTAAAACATGAATAAATCAAATACATATTCATAAATGAAGCGCTTCCCATGCTGCAAAAGTCATGTTACAGTAAATTTTTTGACAAATTTTTATGTGAAAAGCAATAATCATTTAATCTGGATTAATGTTTTTTCATAACCGTTGGAAACAAAAATCAAAATTGAAACTGAATTTCGTTTAATTGCACAGTCCTAGTTCAAAGTTTGCTCAACTGTCACCAGTGTTGTGAATAATAGAAGTTTATGAACTCCACATGCCCCCTTTAATATGCTCAACTTGACTTTAAAGGGTAGGCATAAAATATATATTTCCTTTAACTAGCTTTATGTTCTGTTTCATTGTGGAAAATAATGTCAAATTGATGACATGTTAAAACAATTCAGCAATCTATTTTAGTTTTTCTGTTCTTTAAAAACTCTTATACCCCAGTTGAGATGGGGAGCTTGTTAAATTAGGCCGCGCTGTCATTCATGGCACATTGAGCAGCTTTGCTTGTCAGGAGAATTTCAGCTCTATGCAAAGAGCTACCCTTTGTTCCATTTTATAATTTAAATATATATTGTGCATGTTTTCCAAAACTTTTTAATGTGATTCAAGGATGAGTGCTGTCAAAGGCATTTTGTTGCTTCTTTCATCAGAAGGGAGAGACTTTTGCGCTTTTATATGGATTCATATAACAACAAAACAGTGTTGCAAAGCAGGCCAGTGGGGAGCATATGCTTGTGTTTTTATTGCTCCTCAGCATTTTGCAGTTCATCATGTTGTGATGTTGCTTCAGTCAAAACGACGAGAGCTGACAGAGCTGAGCTTGAGTCTACAAAAAGGGTTCTTGTACAGATGATAAGAAGAGCCTCAGGATACGTTCTCATTGGGTGGTAACTCCCTGTGAAGTGGACTTCATCTGTGATTCATTTATCTTATGTTGCAATGCCAATCATAAGGAGTGTATACTCTCAGTCTGAAACGCAAGTTAAAGTGCTGCTTAGGGATCAAGTGTTCAATCCATTATATTGCTTTATTGGAACATGGCTATTGGGATTGGGTCAACATTTTACCATTCTTATGGGGCCGTTTACACCAAATCATGACAACTATAAAGATAATAATAAAGATAGAGTTCTAAAAAACAACTGCACTGAAAAACAACTGCAGAGTTCAGACCAATGCTACATCAATAAAGATGTAGAGAAACTATATACTTTTGAATCACTTTCAGAATGATTTTTCCAGGCAATAAATGACAGCCAGTAAGAATCCAGTAAAATGTATAAAGAACTTACTCAATTTAAAGCTACGAACGACATTGTAGAGAAACTTACAGATTCATATCAAGACAAGCCCTCTTTTGAAAGATTATTTAATGATAATGACTTTCTTAAAAACTGGTTATATTGTTTCTATGGGAAGAATGCTAAAAATTTACATCAAGCTATGCAAGCCAGGTCAGCAGATTGAAGTATCAAAATAAAAGTACCTTAGTTTCAGTGTCTTTGTGTTACCTCCTTTGAGAATGCTGTGGGGAAATTAGTTTGTGTTGTTTTTTTGCACTACATTGACTGCGATCGCTAAATTCGATAATTGATTTGATTGTTTATTCAAGCTGTATTTATTGGTCAGAAGCACTAATAACGTGGAACACTGAGTACTACTACTGGTTACAAAAGGGAAACAGAAAGATAAGCATAGAACAGATCGTTTGCTGGTGTGGACACAAATATAGTTGTCGTTATATTAAATTCATAGATGTCATTGTTGGTCCTTTAGACCAGTGGTCCCAAATGCCCGGGCAGTTCTTTTCCATGGATTGATTGGTACCAGGCAGCACAAGAAATCAT